TACACCCCTTTTTCGAGCAGACTTCGACTTGCTCTTCTTCCCCTTTCCACGGCCCCCTGACCTTCCGCCTTTGGTCGGAGGCTCAAGCGTGGAGATTTTCGGGGACTGGGTGAAGCTATTGTAAACAATCAGAAAGGGCCTTAAACGAGGATCGCTTTTGGGCACGTTCATTTGTGCCAGGACACTCAACCCCTCGTTGAGGTAAATGCGGGCACTCTTCTGGGTGTGCCACCTTCCTTGCACTAGGATCCGGTCAAGATTATTGTGCTTTTGGAACCAAAACGTGGCCCCCCCCCTCCTAAGGGAGTAGGGCCGGAAGCCTAAGCTGGCAATGCCAAGCCCTTCGAGGCAGGAATTAAAGAGGGCACGCCACTTGGCAGGTGGTGGAGTAAGACGTGTGGAGGTGTTTGCCACCTTCTTCCATGTGCGGAGAAAACGCACTACCGGCTCATACCCCAGGACCACGCTTTCCACGGCCCCATGGCGCTTTCCGCCCTTCGTAAACCCTAGGGAGATCAAAGCTTGCAGCTGCCCCTCGCTGCACTGCAAGTGCGCAGACACTAAGCCCAAAATTTCGCCTGTGCGCAACATTGAGTAAAACCCCACTAGTAGGGACAAAGCAAAGGATACCCAACCTTTAAACAATCCCCAACCTGCCATTGCAAGGACTATATGCTCAGGCAGGGGTGGCGCCCGGGAAGGGATCTCATTGGCCTGCCAAGTGCGCAGGAGCCTCCATGCTCCCGGCATATGATTCCGCAGGCTCGCCTGTGAGTCCTGGAGGCCTGCTAGAGTGTCACAGGCCTGGGCTCGTCCCTTGCCATTGAACCATAGAGTCTCTAAGTAATCACAAACAATTGGGTCGAGTTTGGCTTTGTCAGTGGGGAGTTCAAGTCCTTCGGACTTCAAGAAAGTAAAAAACTCTTGGAGTGCTTTATCATATCGGCGCCTAGTGCTAGGCTGCACTGTGAGTTGCCTCAACGTTCCCATCCTCCGTCGAACCTGCATACGCTCCTCTGGTGTAGCTGCTTCCAAAACTCTCTTAGGCATTGCGGTACTTTGAACGCACCCGCCGACCCCAACGACTGGGCTTATCAGCGGGATTGCTGTCAGTGGCCACATAGGCCCAAATCATCTGCGAATTGCTACACAACAGAAGAGCGTTGATCCTTGAGATGGTGGAACGAAGCTTGCGCGAGCTGGTTCTTCCACGCGTCAATGCGTGCAAACAAACCAAGCTATCCGTGAGATGCAGCATGCGACAACCCAGATGCCTCTGCTTTTCCAGGCGCCAGCGCACTGCATTCAAGATGGCCCGCATCTCAAGCGAGTTGATGTGCTCTTTCCCGCGTGTCCATTGCCACCCGGTGACAACCTTCCAGCGCCATAAGCGTGAGGGAACAGAGGCACGCAACCGATGAAACCGAACCATCTGCGTACTTGGAGTGGTGAGGAGGATATCTTCCCCCTTGAGGCTAATGAGGTTGGCCAGCTTCCATGCCAGGGCACCCTGCCCCGAGATGCATCCTCTGCGATGAGCCAAGGGCAGTCTCACCAAGCGCTCTTGAAGCGACGCCGCAGAACCAGGTCGGCACCGCTCCATGATTTCCCCTGGGTTCAACGCTACACTCAACCCCAACATGCGCAGCAGCTGGTTCAGCAGCCAAGCCACCACCGGGACACTCCAGCTATTGCCAAGGAGAGTAAGCCGAGTGTCGTTAGTGGACCCAAGCTTCCGGGCGTTCTTTGCAACACAATTGCTGGTGTACCCCAGTGGAAATCCGAGCATCAGCTCCCGTTCCTGGACATTGGGGATGCGCATCTCCTCACACCTGTTGACCACACAGTGCACGTCTTGGTATTGGTAAGGTGGGAAGCGATGCGTATCAGAATGCCAACGCTGAAGAGCCATATCAGAGCACTGGTTCAATCCAGCCGGTTTCCGGCCAGGAACTGCTGATGGGCGAGAGGTGGTAAACGTGGGGAATGCTTTTGTAGGCTCAACCTTCTTCCAACCAGGCATCAGCATCTCACTTAAACACGGCTGTGCTTGCAAGTGCCAGGAGCACACCTCAGCTCCCGCCTCAAGCCTCGCTCCGGGCTCCTCCACAAGGTCCCAAGTAGTCCAGTACAGTCTAGGCCTATGGCACCATGTCATATCCCCAGCGTCGATGTGGACGGGCCTGCCACCGAAACCGCTACTCATAATGTCACGGTCCTTAGCATCCATAGAGCTCACTGATTCCATCAGAACGTGAACTTGCGCCCAAGGGAACGCAAGACGGACACAGTCACGAACCCTGGGGACATGGGCGAAGAGGCAGGACCGCTCATCCTTAAGAGCCCCCCGTCGGTCGGTGTTGAGTCCTGAGACTCCCTGACACGGGGGTCCAGCACCTATCAGGACCAGACTGCACTGAGAATAGCGTAGACTCCACTTCTTGACCTCTTCGAACGAGAGGCTAGCCACGTCCTCAATATGCTCAACACCTGGGTAGTGGGCTTCCACCACCCGCCTTGCCTGAGGGTTCTTTTCCACTGAGATGTACCCGGCCACTTGAACTCCTTGAAGGTCCATCGCCACTCGCAATGCTCCAATGCCATCGAACAGCCCGACCAAGAGCACCGAGTGCTCCGAGACCGCTCGCGGCAGGCGTCCCCTAAGCTCCCCTTGCGCTGCCATCTGCCCCGCCGGTGTCAGCCCTCGTGAGCAGCATACTCCACCACCAGTGCTTGAAGCATCACTGCATGTAGCCATGGAATGAACCCCCAGCCGGAAGTTCATCCTGACGAGCGGCAGTAACCCCAGGAAGCGCAGGACCTCAATGCGACACTCAACTGGCAGTGCACGATGCACCGGACCACCTTCATTGAAGCTCTCAATAAACCTCCACACGGCGTTAAGCGCTCCCAAGGTTGGCCTCCGGAACATGGCAAAGTAAACGAGACCACCACAGACCACCTGCATCTGTCGTTGGCTGACCACCGGCTGGTGGAGTAACCTGAGCGCCAGGCTGTAGTACTTGCTCAGCTTAGTCTCCTTGGGGAAGGCAATACCTGCTACGCACTCCACGGTAGCCCCTTGCAGCTCGCAGTGAGTTGAACGAACAACTCCTTTCTTGGCGTTCCGTGGTACCTGCCAGTGCAGGTACTCCGACCTCAAAGCCAAAACACCTGGGGGAGTGGTACCTTCCAGCTCTACCATGCCAGTAGCCTCAACCTTCTCCAAGAGGTCATAGTTGTCGAGATAAACCCGCCAAGCCGTCGATGTCACCGTGAATGGCCTATCTTTGCGAAGTTCGCACTCTTCATGATGAACTCGGTCGCCCTCCAAGCGAGACCACTTGACCAAGTTGCGGTGCACGTTTTGAGCTAGGCTCACTGAGTTGAGAAAGCCCATGGGCAATACCCGGGAAGCCAAATAGATCGTACCACCCTTCATGTGCTGAGGCAAGCACACGTCTGGCACTCTCTTATTAAAGGCCAAGTACTTCACCCATTCCTGTGGCACCTTCATAGTGTAGAAAAAACACTTCACATCTTCAGAAGAAATCAAGAGGTTCTCGTGGGGCTGCAAGAAAAATGGGTTCATCATGCCCCAAGAGGGGAGGGTGTCAACGTCACCAGAAAGGGGTTCGGAGATGGAATTCAAAGGGATCAAATTCATGATCAGGCGACAAATCTCTGTTCCGTCCTCAGTCCACTCCTCCTTGCTCACTCCAAAAAGTCCGTTGAGCAAGGGTCCGTCACCAGTGTCAAACACGGCCTCCTCCTCGATAAAGCAGCACACTCCTGCCTCAACAAGTCCGGTGCACAGCTGCGCCCATGCATGGTCCTCTACCATAACCTTGGGTCTGGTCACCTTTCCCCATTGCTCCCGGGGCTTAATGAAGCCATCAAAGGAGCACACATACTCCCGGCAACCAAGGGTGCAGACTTCCTCAAGTGGCACAAGGCCAACCTCCTTGGGGAGAGCAGGTGCAATGTTAGGCCATGCGACCTTTCGTGCAACCCGAACCTCATCCCCTTTGTAGTCAATGCCTCTCACCATAAAAAATTGGTCCCAATCAACCCCAACCAGCCTAAGGTCAAGTTGGCAAAAACGTGAAACGTCCTCACGAATCGAATTCAAAGCCCTAATCTGACAGGTCGTCGGTTGCCGGTCGTCAGCCACGAACACCCCCCAATAGGAGTTCAGAGACAGGCCAACACAAATCACCCACTGTTTCACCTCTTCCGGGACGTCAGGCCAAAGGTGCGGTATAACAGAGTAGGAGGTAGGTAAGGGCAGCAAGGCGGACGCTGCATCCTTACCCGGGGTCTTGCTGCGAAGTGGTAAAACCTCCAACAGTTTCTGCACCAGAAAAGCCCCTGACCCAGAGACCGAAGAAACTGAAAGTCCCAAGCCGCTCACGCTTTTTTCCGCAGTCGGATCGACCGGTTCGGTGTCTCCACTCCTATCGCCACATCCATGAAAAGAGGGTGGCCGCGGTGGAAAGTCTGAAAAATCCGCGACGGCTGACATAGCCGCCTCATCAGCCGAGACCCGAGGGCCATTGGCTGGCTCTATGCAAAAGTAGTTGCCATGCCGCCCCTGCACCAACTCTTCGCCATCAAGGCGGTTCTCAATGCAGCTCGGCCTAAGGCCTGTACCCTGTAGTTCATAGTCTGGCTCCCGATCCCAGGAGCTCACCCCTGCTTGCTGTCGTCCTCCTTCTTCTTTCCCTTGTCGAACTTGCCCGAACCTTTGCCTTTGCCTCGATCTCGATCGCGCCTGGTGAACTCCTGGCTGGGCGCATCTTTGCCCTTTGCCATGCCCTTGCTCCGACTCCGCCCATCGGGCAGCGAAGCCAAATGCCTCGTCTTGGCGTCTTCCGCCGCCGCTCTTTGTGCACTCATCAGCTCCTCTCGTGGTGCCAGGGTCTGTAGATCCAAAGGCGGCAGTTCCAATCTTTGCGAAACACTCCAATGGCTTCCAGCCATCGTCGACTCTATGGACTTCACCCTCTGAAGAAGGCAGTCCACTGCCTGAGCCGCTCTTCCACGAAGAAGATAGTCCACTGAGCTGCAAAGTGTCAGTAGTTCCCGGGCAACCGGGCCCGTCGACTTCCTCTGCAGCTCCTGACGAAAGTATTGCACCGCCGTCGGGGTCACAAGCTGTGAATGCTCCTCGAACCCTGCCGTCTGAAGCAGGACCCTTCGCATGTCGGCCAGGGATCTCGCCCCGAGAGCTCCAGGGCAGCTGTCCGCCACCCTCTGGATCTTTGTGGCCCCTTCGAAGAAGCCCTCCTCCTGAGCGAAGTCGATCTCCTGGTCGTGGTCGGATGTGGAGCTCCGGCTGCTGCTTTCCCGCCTGTCCTGCTTCTTTCGCCGCACCAAGCGCCTGGCACGCCTGGCCACACGGCGTCTGGTTTTTTCTTTGAAGTCCAGACCTGTGCCCGCGAATAGTGCTTGCAGGCTCTTTGAAGAAGCCGCTCGTGGCATAGTCCCGTCGGTCTGTATCACGGGGCTGGAACTCGATGAACTCACCTTGGCAACCTTGTCCTCCTTGCCGCCCTTCACACGCAACTTCTTGCTCCTCCTCATGGATGGTGACTTGGACTTCCACCGGGACTTGCATCCCTCTCCTTCTCTTTTTTCTTTCGTTTCTTGCTGCGATCTCGCCGTCGGGAACGACTTTTGTCCTTCTCCTTGGCCTCCTTGAGCTCGTCTCTCTTCTCTCGCAAGTCCCTGAGGTCGTCTCCTGCTGGCTTCTCGACGGCCACCAGGTTCCGGCACCAATGCTCTTCCTCTTCGTGACCTCTCGCCAGCCTCACCTTCTTGATGTGGATGAGGTCCTCTGCAACCCGGTCCCCGGAACACGTAGGGCCGCACAAGTGTCCGCGAAGATGTTCTCCTGGAGCTCCTGTGCAACGCTTGAGTAGCGACTCCAGATCGGTGCCTGTCGCCTGAAGGAGGACATGCGTCGCCTCCCTCTCGACCTCGAGTCCTCGGATGGTGCCTGCCACCCGACATGCAGCCCCGAAGTAGGACCCTTCGTCGATGACCAGCTCCACGCCCTTGGCAAGTTCGGCCACGGGCACGTCCGCGCCCTGAACTGTCAGGCCTCGACCCCAAAGCTCCCGGGGAACAGGAGCTGATTCGTCTCGATGAAGGCCAGCAGGACGTCGTAGAACTCCTCCATGAGCTGGCCTTATCCTCATAGCCAGACGTGCCTTGGGCTTGGCCCGGGCCTTGACTTTGGCCGCTGCTTTCCCTTTTGCCTTTGGAGGCATTGTAGCTGCTATCGTCTGTAGGGCCAGTAACGGCCCCGCTCACGATGCTTGACTCCTTTTGTCCCTCTCTTCTTGTATGGCCTCCTCTCAATGGATTTTGATCTTTCTCTGCGATGATATCGGTCTCCTCGATCGTAATCACGCCCCCGCCTGGGGGGTGGGTGATCTGGACTCCTTGGCCGCCTGGGGGCCGGCGGAGGTGTTGGCAATTCGTGATGCCTGGAGTGAGGTGTCCCTGACCCCTTTGGGGCCGGCTTCAACTCGAACTTCTTGGGGTTCTCGTGCACCTGCAAGTCCTTCTCCTCCTGTGTTGTTGTCAGGTCTTCAACTGGTGCTGCAGTGCTCCTAGCACCGGCTTGCTCCTCTTCCTCGGCCTGAACTTTCTTCTTCTTGCGCTTTTCCTTCTTGGTGGAAGGGCCACTCCTGTGCTTCCTCTTCCTTTTCTTCTTCTTGGTCTCTGTCTCCTCTCCTCGAGCTTCCTTCTCTGACAAGGGGATGGCCTGCACTGTCTCAACCGGCTCCTTCTCCTCGGTGTGCTCTTCCTTCGTGAAGTTACCTGGCGGTGCCTCCAGCACCGGCTCCGAAGCTGAGGCAGGAGCTGCCTCAGTCGCTCCCGTCCCTGGGCTGCCTTCACTCTCAAAGCCAGGTGGATTGGACTCCGCCTTCTCCTTTTTCAGGACGGGGATTGCCAGCTCACTCAAGTCCTCAATGGCACCGCAGGCAGACCTCAAAATCTGGATGATCGCGTCCTCCTGCGACCTCAGAAATGCCCCAGTCCTGAACAAGTTCTGGATCCGACACAGTGTCCGGCAGGAAGGGCACGTTGTCGGACGGGATGACCAGAAATGGCACCCAGTGCAATGCATGCACCGTCAGGAACCGCTGAGAACCGAAACGCTATGGGACAAAACAAACACGTGCATCTTAACCACCGGGGGCGTTAGTACATATATGTGTGTAATTATATGTATATTCATCCTTCGTCCATGACTGTCGCTACAGTATCCCATCATCTATAGAAACAACGGTCCATCTTGACTCTTGCCCGTTGTAGCTCTCGCGCGCCCCTGGAAACTCTCGTGACGCATCGCTTCCCACCATGTAGGCCACGAAAACTTTGGAGACCAGTGCCAGGGCCAGGTACAAGAAAAACGCGCCCGCAGGAGTCAGGGCATTCATCCTGAAGTCAGAGCTTGGTGCGGGCACCCCTCCCTTCGAGTGAGGGCGGATTCTTCCAGAGTCCGTCTGTGTACCCGCGTTTGAGATGGATAGTGAGACATCTTGAAGTGTACTCACTTACATGTTGGAATATACCCCAAATGCATCGGCTGCCCTTCAACAGGTCCAGGTTCAAGTGCATACATTCATCCAATGATGGGTGTGTGGTGCCCAAACTGCCAAGCATTGCCCAAGCTCATACATGATCTGGTTGAAACTCCCTGCAAATGAACCTCGGATTCCAAAACGATCCAAAAACTGATTTCCCAGAGGTCCACATGGAATGGTATCAACCACATGGAGCTCCGAAAGGCAAAACCCAGGTATGAAGGCAGTACCAACTCATTCCAGACCTGTATAGGGTTGGTCCACCAGACAGGACTTCGCGTCCGAAGCTTCCGGTGGTTCTGGAATTCGTCCAGAAAGCCTCAGCCTCCGCCCTCAGACCAGTCAGACCAGGGACACCACAACCTGTGAAGGGCACTTATATAATGGGAACGCAGGGAATCAACACCCGGACCGTGAATCTCTTGTTCACATGGTCCTAACAATCAACTCACCCACTCTCACATTGAGGTCCAAGGGCACCCGGAGGCTGCAACAGTTACAGTATACTGTTTCTCTCATCATCGGCACGCCAGTCTCAGAGCCGTTCGACCCAGACACAGAGCTGTTTGGCACAAGGTCATCAGAATGTTGGAGCCAAAGTTCACCTGCGTCCACTCGTTGACTGGCTAGACGATGGGGGCGATGGTGTGCAGCGCACAACACCCTTGAAGACTGACTGGCAAAACGCAGAAAATATCAACTGTGGTGGACCACGAAAGGAACACCTCCCTGAAGGCCCTGAAGTGTTTGAAGTACTCAAGTACTCAAACCCCAAGCACTCCCAGATGAACCCAACTTTAAAACAACAGAACCATCCACCTCAACTCATCAGAACTAATGGCACCAGGTGGCACCGGCACCACCCCGGTCGCGCCCCCGAACTGGTCGGTCCGAGTGGCCATGGCGGCAGTGGAGAGGGCGGAGCCGCGCACGCCCAAGGGGAAGATCTCGGAGATCCTCAGTGCAGTGCTTGGGGCGATCGACGTGAGCCTTGAGCGATGTCTGATGGGGCGATTCTCCTTGCCATGAAGGCAAAAGATCTGAAGCGATTGGACGATTGGACGTGATTTGATGGTTGGTCCGTCTGACTTAAAGGCAACAAGATCTGGGGAGATCGGGAGAGAATGGGTCGGCTAGATTCGGGGTGCTCTTGGACCTTGCGTTTTTCTAGATACAAAGCTGGGTTGCATGAGAGATGCTAAAAATTCAACCGTTCCCCGTGTCAAAGGCAATGCTTTTTATGCTTCAAACTCAAAAGAGTATCGATTCTGGGGATGGCACAGGCGGACTGGCACAAGGACCACCATCGAAACTGTGTGTATTGGTCCAAATGGACCATCAGGCCAACATGGTCCAACATGGTGTAATGGTCCAACATGAGTATCAGGATCATGTGTATTGGCCAAGGATCATCAGCCAGGAGATGGGCCCAAATCCCACCTGGGCAGGTGCAGACACTGGGCGTCCGTCACCCCCCCTCTTAGTGGGCTATGAAAGAGCACACGGGCCACAGGACAAAAGCAGCTCTTAAACCCAGAGATCGTGTGGAGACTCGCAGTACATCAAACTAAAAAGTCAACTCCTTCAACAGAGCAGAAAGGTTGTCGTGAGAGATGTATATATAAACAAGCAGTAATACCACATTGAAACTACCAATACTTCACTTCAGAGCCCATACCCTGTCCCAACCCTATGCAATGCCCCTGCATTCAAAAATATCTTGAGGATTGCTCCATGTTTATGCCATGTTTTTCAAGCCGTCTGAATCGGGACGACATCATTGTCCTAGCTATGTGCTGCAAAATGATGTCTGATCTCGGAGCCTGTTGCAAACAAATCCTGATTCATGTCAATGTCCTCAATCTTCTCACAGCAATCCCCTCACCACAGCCCAAAAGAAACAGTCGTCCATGCCACCATCGAATCCACTGGGATTCCGCGTGCGTGGGCTACGCCGTGCCTGGTATGCGCTGACGTAGACCATGAGTGCCAAGACCTGAATGGAGCGTTCCAACAGATCGGAAGACAAGGACTTGCGACCCGGGCGGTTTCGGACATCGCGACGACGACACGTTCTGTTTAATGGTGAGGAACATCGCATGAGATCCGCAGAAGTCAAAAAAAACGTGTTGGTTTAAGTATATAGCTAGTATATAACTGTCATGTGCTGCAAACGTGTTTGTAGCAGAGGGGCCTCAGTGTGGACAGTCACAAAAAGTACAGTAGATTCCTTGAAGATCTAGGTTTGTTGATGTTTCTTGGGGGGCGTCAAGATGTCGACACTCAGTGACCTGGTAACCCGAGCAAATTCATCGATCTAAAAACTAAAGCTCCACAGGAGCTTTCCCCGAACCCCAAAACCAAAGCGAGACCCCTGGCTTTGACCATCACCGAATTCACTCACTTGCACAAGATTTGACCGACATGGAGCGCCAAAAGCAACGGTTCAAGAGGAACACGTGTTCGAAGTGTTCAGTCTGCGGTAATTCACCAAGTCCTGCCAGAACGTTGGTGAAGTCTGGTGAAGTAGTATTTCTCTACTTGAAAGTCACTTGCAGTTGCAAAAAAGGATGCTCCAAAATGCCACAGCTCACGAAAAGGACTGATGGGGCAAATCCGACCAAATCCGGACCCAACTCCTAGGTCTTCAAGGGTCTCAGTCTTGAACACTTCAGACTGTTGCAAGTTGGGCCAAGTTGGACCTCCGAAGACCATCCCTGCCCATCCATCCGAGATGCGGTGACGATGGCCGCGCCTCTAGGAATAGTGACCTGCGCTCGATGATCGAACTGGGTTTTCGAGAACTCCCCGAGTTCTCCGGGACAAGGGGAGTCTGGAACATACCCAGAGGAAAAGCACTGCACCAAAAAGACTGTTGGAACAGGCTTGGACACTCAACAAAGCTGAGATCTGTTGGCTGTTGGCTCTCTTGGGTGTGGCCATTACAAACCGTTGAACGACCTGGCAATTGCATTGTGACTGGAAAGGAGGACTGCAGTTGAATCGGCCGGAGCAAAAAGACTCATTCTGCCGGCAGATTCTGCTTCGGCAAGCTCGCCCCATTGCGACAAACATTGACCGAAAATGTGTAGATACAATATCCATGTATTACTAAATTACTCGTTATTGGACATCTATGTCCCAGGAAACCTTCTCTTCTAGCGAATTGGAGACCCACACTCCAAGAAACCGCTCACCCCCGTGCCCCATGTCCTCCGTTCAAAAACATATACCGATCGCACCGTGTCGCCGTCCACGTGGCGGAAGGTGAAGGCAACACCCAGCATCGTCAAAGCGATGATCATGCCGAACTGAGGGAGAAGGGGTCTCCCAGGGGCGAGACTGGGGGAATGTAAAGGGTTTACAACCCATACACTCCATGTCTGCCATATATGCCTACATTGACCTCCAAAACCACCCCAATGTAGGCATACATGGAGTGTCTGGGATATTATGAATTTAATTATGTTCAATGCATGGGCATGGACATGATATTATGAGGATGGCAGTGACTCCCTCCGAATGCCCACTTCCAGGCTTTCCATCTGCTTCTGGAAAGAATACACTCTTGAGCTGAGAAGGCCAATGGTAGACCCGTCAAGTTGGCTGAATTGTTGAAATTGATGTTCAACTGAAAACCTTGTGGAATCCGTGGGATCTTGTTTGAGAGTCGTTTCTTCAAAAGACTCGAGGGGCATATGGCAACAGTAGGTGCGGCACAGTACTCATGTTTTACATCTTATGTTCAGAGTTGTTTATAGAGGGCTTGCAACTTGGGGTAATTATGGTAATTTACCCACAGCAACATATATGTCCTCTGTTAAGCACCCACTCTTTCCCCCAAGCAATCATAGAACCTGAAACTAGATCCTTCAGCCGTCCTCAACGTCACGATGACCTTTTTTGGTTTGTGGCAAAATCCAAATGACCTGAGTCAGGGTCGTGTGACTCGTTTTCGTTCCCACCGTTTCATCCAAGAAACGATTCCCCACAGCAGCAGCTGACGTCGTCCGTACCTGATAGTATTCCACATGGCACGGGTTCGTTCGCTTCCGAGATTCTTATCGAGTGAGTGCTTAGTGATGCTAAATATATCATCAAACTCACGTCTACTTCAAGCAATTTCACTTACACCAACTTTGGCATGAAGCAAAGGCACTCAGTACTTCAAAACCACACCTTCCATCCATCAGCAGGGCATCTTTCCCACCGCCCCACCCCCCGCTTCGCCCCGAGCGCTCGGCTCGCTAGCCGCGAAGGCACAGGTCGACGCGCCACACGGTGAAGAGCGTGGCTAACAGCTTCACCTCTGGACATCGGCGGAGCCGAGCCGAAGAGCCGAGGACCCGAACCGAGGTAGGGCGCAGTGAGCGGTGGGAAGGGTCATGGGCGGCACACCGAAGGGACGAACGGATGAATTCCCGGGCGGGCTCAGTGAGGTATGGTGACGGATGGTCCCGAATTTGAGGAGGTCAGGCCTTTGGAAAGCTTGAGTGGGGTGAGGCCCAGCATAAGGAGACAGCAAATCACCCAATGGTGGAATGGAGTTTGACCGTTTCACTACAAACATCTACATATACAATGTCAAACAAATCCCTACAGGACCCCAACAAGACTTTCCAGCTTCCCAAACAACGAATTGACATGAATTCACCTGGAAAACCACCCAGGCTTCGACCTCGTTTGCCTCCTGTGCTGCTCGGTTTGTGGCATCGCCGAGCTGCGAGGCCCACGCCGACCGAGCTCAAGGCCGCTGCGCCCGCGAAGCCAGCGCTCTGGGAGCAGCGGATGGGCGACGCCCGGCTCAAAGAGGTGCTTCGACCACAGCCACCACTGTCAGTCACTGTAAGTCACTGTAAGTCACTGATTTTCGAATGGTTTGTCATGGTTTGTCCTTTCAACGGGCCGTGACCAGGTTGAGCTTGAAAAACATGTGAAATCAAGAGATCAGAAGAAATAAGAGACTCATGGAGACTCACCCCAGTCTTGACAGTGCCAACATAAGTGGTTCAAGTTGAAAGTCTACGCCGCGGGCCTATCAAAAGTGAGATTAACGTCTAAACTTTGTAAGCCTGTTCCATGTCTATGTTGGGTGGGGGATACCTCCTCCGAGGTTTCAGAAGCTCTTCCAGGTGGAAAACTTCAGACGGCGGGTCGACTCCACCTATACCAACTACAGTGCTACAGTAAGCTGAGGTCTCTGCTCGTTTGCATGCCAACATTGCCCAGATTCAACAATGCCTACTCCAAGCGTGCCACTGCACTCAGAGCGTGACTATAGTGACTATATAGTTGTCCCAAGGGGGGGCAGGTTATTCATTCCCCCGAAATGCAACACCTCGTTCGTTCGCCATAGCGAGTCCGGCAGCGTCGCAGTCCTGCCTTGAAGATGTTGGTGGCAAAGTACAGGACCGATGGCTGTCCGGTCACCTTGTTCGTTGGGACCCCGCAAGGTCCATGAATGCGAGCCAACGAGAATTCACGATTTTTAGGATATCAAGGACTCTGTCAAGATCATGTAGATCCAGGTACTTCTTGGAACATGCAGCATGCAGGGTCCAGTTGGGGGGGGCTAGACCATCAGTCTTACAACGAATGTCATCATCGGCAAGATATGTGTCATCGCAAAGTGAGAAACTGACCTTGCATCCTGTTAGCGCGCGGTGAATCAGCGTCTTCAAACTCTCCATGTTGAACAAACATGCGCTTCATGATGCCCCAACACGCCAAGAAACAAAAAAACGCTGCTTTAGCAGCAGCATGAATGGCTAGGCTTGCAAATGCACCTGCACATCTCAGAATGGTACGGATCAGTGGACCTTTTTTGACCTACAGTACGTCTGCGTCAGTTCTTCAAACGACGCAAACGTGTTCTGGATCTCATGGAGTCTCCAGCCGTTTGTTTGGGGAGACTTCATGACAGCTCTACATCCGGCCAGGTCCCCCTGGTGTCGCCGATCGGCACCAACCATGCTCTGCTATTCATGGATGAGCCGAAAATCCTCCAGCTGGACAGAAGTGTGACGGCCCCGTCAGTTTCACCCATGTTTCAGAGATGTAATTTCAGCATCTTCCAGATTCTTTTACATGGTCCAAGTGCAAAGTCGTGGGTGAGTACCAGCCCCCTATCCGCAGACCGGTGAAGCCCTTCACCGTTCCCAAACCCTTCACCCGTTCCGACGGCGCGTTCCACACCACCGGGTCGGCCTGCTGGAAGAAGACCAACCCACAGCCGATGACCAAGGGCTTCGGATATCGCAAGGTCTCCTCGGAGATGTCAGGAGAAAGCCCCTGGGGCGGGAAGGAGTCTGGGGTGGGCCATGGCGATCAATCGATTCACCACAACCTTAAAGAATCTGATAGAAACCACCGAGGTCATAGCTCCGGAAGCGAATAGAAGTGATTGATAGTCTATGACAGTCTTATTACAATAATATTGCATGACGCCATTCCATCATTTTGGACCTCTATACAGTCATTCTTTGAAGCGGATGAACACCCACTTCAACAACCACCACTTCTTGACTCATCTAGGTTTCCCAGCTTCGCTCCAGTCAGACCGTCCCGACCGCGGTCGACCGACGGAACCGGTGGGTTCAAAGCGTCACTGCAGCTGGCGCTGTGGCTGCTTCCCGCAGAGGCATCCCGAGCATCGTTGAGCATGGTCATGAACTCCTCTTCGATCTCCTGCCCACCAGTGAACTGGTTTGTTTGGGGGGGGGGGTGGACGAGTCAAACCAAGAACCGTGTCCTGCTGGGTGGTGGCTCGGAAGAAGGCTAAAGCTTCCTTGGCCTCGGCGGCGTACTCCTCGTCCACCTGCGAGGGCACGGAGGCGGAGCCTTCCGAGCCGCTTCCCTTTTTCGTGTGACCAAACATGGACCACCGGATGTTTGTTCAGAGTGCAGGGTTGAGATACAGCCTAGGAATGTGGTGTATAGCTGGCATGCAAACGCGGAAGCACAAACTGCACTGTTGACAGCAAAGATAGCTTTTGGTAGTGTTCTATATGTCTATACAAATAGCAAGGTTTTGAAAACTTCCATTCAAGAAAATCATCATGAACAAAGAAAAGCCCGCAGAAATTCAGACTCGTATCCAAATGTCCAACCTTGCACTGTCTTAGTCCATCTAAAGATGACTCCTGCTGATTCAGACTTGAGACAATTAAGACTTTGCAAATCGCCACGCCCCTCCACGTCACCGCATGACTGGCCTCCGAGAGGGAGTTGCTGCGGAGAGATCGCAGCACCAACCACCGTGGGGAGTTGGGGATGAAAATGATTCCCACCTGTGCGCAACATGTGCAGCGAAACGTGTTCAACGAAACGGACACGTTGTTTCGTTGTTACCACGACGGGTGGTTTGACTGAAGGCGACTCTCCACAAAGCACTGGCCAGAAAGCTGGTAGAACAGAGGAGGATCCCAAAGGCACAAAGCACATCGAAACACCAAAACCCTTCAGGCCGGTTCAAGATCTAGAATTGACAACAGCAAAGAATCAGTAACAGCAAACACGAAATGCACACCCTGTTCTCTGATAATGGCTGTTTAATGTAAAACCAACATGATGTTTTTGGGATGCTATAGGCTATACTCAGCTATCTTCAAGCTTTCAATACGACAGAAACTCCTCTGACACTCTCCAGCACGCCGCATGTCACCCGAAAAAGAACCCTTGGGCCTCCACGATACAGGCAAAAATAGCAGCAATCACCACCATCAATCGCCAGCCGGCCTCGCGTTGATCCGGTTTACCACAAGTACCAGTAACAGTGGATGATGATGACAAGGTTGCAGGCCTTCCTCGAAAACAGTGCTCATCTTTTGAATCTTTTGCCAACAGCTATACTGGTTTACTATAGGACTTTACTAGGACACACCCTACAAGGGCACAGCCTTTAAACCTGCGTGACCTGCTACATTGAGGGCTGGGGTTCCAAAAAGAGGATGTTCCTCGATCTGAGTTCATGGACTGGAGGTGGCAACCGATTGTGAAGCTTGCAATTTGTATGGTGTGTTCTACAGTTTGTGGTCAGGGGATCAACTGTATCCCCACAAGAAAATACACAGCAAACAAAGCGCTCCCATCCATTATATCATCCCATGCCTACAGTGACCCCCAATACCACCCCAATGTAGGCATATATGGCGTACATGGAGTGTCTGGGTTATATCACTCAGGCGGATGACTTGCATAGACCAACCGATACTGTATCGGCGATCGGCGCCTGGTGCCAGCCGGCGAAGATGGCTCCAGCCGCAAAGCCTAAGAACATACCCAGCACGATGACCATCTCCTGCACGATGCGCATCGTGAAATGCATGTGAGAAGCCCTTCAAGAAGTTGGGAAGATCTGCAGCAACCCGTGTACTCTACCAATAACAAGGTGCATAAGGACCTGATAGGGAATTGTAGCTGTCACTGTACAATATTAATTACTCAGTATATCACGTGTGCCTACAAATGTCCACGCACCGAGACCCACTACCCCCAGCTAGACCACCACTAGGTGGTGCTCAGTGCTCGCCACGCCCGAGCCACGCCTTGGCGGACACCAAGGTTCCACGCATTTCAGCGGGGGCGATCTCTGCGATGTAGACCGGCGCTGCGTGCATGCAGAAGCCTGGCACATGGACATGGACAAGCAGGTTGAACGGGGAGTGATCTTCCGCGGCTCAAAAGGTCAGATTCTGATTATTTGTTTATTCCATCTACTATATTATATATCCACCTCAGGGTCGCACGTTTGGGATCCAATTCTGTGGAACTGTGGAAGAGAAGGTGAAATAGCCCAAGATTCTTGCCCAAGCAGCGGGGAGATCATCTATTGCCTTTAACTAATGCAACCTGAAGAGCACTAAGACTGTCTAGACGCGCGGGGTTCTGTCCAACGGAAGCTTCGCGCATCTGATCTGCCTATGCCGAGGCCATACACAAGGAAGCCCACCTCGAGACTCACAGAATGTGGCTGGGCCACCATGACGGGACATGAGTAACCATCTAGGTTTGGGCCTTATGTGTATACCCATGTCCAGTCCATACCCAATGAGTTTAGATATATATATATATCTAAATATGAACTCATTGGATATTACACCTAGACCATCCAAAGTCTTAAATCCACGCAAACAGCTGCAAATAGTACAATTTGTGCCGCTTGGATCAACTGTGCAGAAACATGCTTTGATCATCGGAATTCTAAAAGAGCTAATCCATGAATGTTTTTGTTTTCCGTGAGTGCTTTTGAATCCAACTCAAGAAATGACAGCTAGAAAGACATGGAAATGAACACAAACATGTAAATGGGCAGCGTTTTGTCAGAAAACAGGATCCAAACCACAAGTGCGGAAATACTTGTAAAAATGCATCAACATCCACAAAAGTGCACACATCGGGAACTTGGGATTTTTGGGGAATGACCCATTCACAGACTTTGTGCAACTCGGGTGAGACGAAAAGTGCCTTGCGAAAGAATGACTCAGAGAACGACGTTGAGGAAATGGACATTTGTGCAGGAAGACGGAAGACTCACGCTTAGTCGGAGTTAAGTGTCTCTTGGAAACATTCAAGTTGAAATGCTTCAGTCGTATCGATCTGCAGAAGTGCACAATGTACAAAAGATATTGCACTATGTCCTGAGCGCGTTCCAGGTAATACACATGCAAGGGCTGCGCAAATTCTTTCTTGGTGGTGTAGCTTCTCCCAAGCAACATCAACAAACTACCGACTCAGTTGCTGAAGGGTGAGGGTGGGGAACTCTACAAACCCACAACCCATACCAGCACCCTCCAACATGTCACCACCTAACACTTTCAATTTGTTGGAGGCATACTCTATGTTTGCTTCCATGGTCATCTTGACCCTGTCACTGACCTCTCCCATTAACCCTATAGCTTTTGAAAGAACCTCTCCGAGCCGCATAGATGCCCCAAAGCATGGGCGCGCCAGCCGCGATCGCCGAACCCAAGAAGTAGAGCAACGCTCCGATCTGGACCTCCCAATGGCGGAGATGGGGAGATATGCGGAGCGCTGTAGTCGAAAGGGGGGTGCATTTGGGGGAGATGTTGTGCTTGGATCGCACATGGAGCCACATGCAGCCACATGGTCACGGTATTTGAAGGGTAAAGGCAAGTCTTTTGCAGGGTTGTTCAGCGTGAGCGTCCATATGCGTCCATACTTGCAAAACTCTTGTCTTGGCTTGACATGTGGACAACCGTGTTTTCAAGCGCACTGGAACATGAAATGAAGCCTGGTGGCATAGCCTTGCTTAGTGGCTTAGTAAGGCTCTTATCTGAAACTTGTCAGTACGTATCAACGGAATGTCATCGGCCAAAGGGTCTGTCACATCTAGGACACTTCTTAGCTTTGGTGTGAAGTTGATCCGGCATCACAGCAATTGTGCTTGATTCCTTCATGAGCCAAGGTCATTTTCCAACCACATTGGAGCATTTCTCTCATCTTCTCCTGGCATCTTCAGTATCCCCACCTACAGAATTGTATATATGTTATAATATAAGTCCCACTCCACATTCTCCCCAAACTCGCTCAGCACGACCAGCCAAACTCGGTTCCGTGCCTCCTTCTTTCGCCCTAAGACATCTGCCCACTTGAAACAGATCGCAGAGGAGACCACTGCGCCGATGAGGTTCAGAGAGCTCAAGATGCCTTGATCCCAGTCCTCACGTTTGCCGGTTCTTTGATGGATCAGGTCTGGATGCAGGGAAATTGTGTGTATGTATTCAGGGTCAAACAAAGGCCGGAGGATCTGGAGATCATTTCTGTAGACAGCTGTGTTCGCAAAAAAATGTCTTGCCAAAACGATCAAAATGGACGGTGCAAGAACTGGTATACCAAGCAACATGTTGCTATCATTTGCTATCCAACTGTTTTAAGATGTTTTAACAGGATTCATGCGACCAAATTTCCATAACTTACTGTTGGCTTCGGTTTGTGAGGGATGGGGGCTACAAGGCTTCGACTTTGGCTTCAAAGCTTTACAGAATGTGCCTAGTCCATATTATTCACCCATCGGGTCTTTGAACGGTCTCATACCTTCATCTTGAACATCGCAAGTGACTTAATTATAGTGGTCCCCACTATCAAATAATGGCGCGAGATCCAATACCTTTTGAAAGGGATTTTACGTGATTTTACTGTTCTATCTATTTGGGGATCCATATACACCAAAAAGAGCTGTGTAAAACTGAGCGCTCTTGCGGTGGTGGTGGTGGTGGTGGTGGTGGTGGTGGTGGTGGTGGTGGTGGCGGCGGCGGCGGGGGTGGTGGTGGTGGTGGTGGTTTCACGTGTCTGTTGACCAAAAGAATCGTCAGGTCGTGGCATCGACTGCTAAGGCTGCCAAGGCGCGCTGAAGTGCCAACACCTGTCGGTCAGTCTGTAGTTTTTGCAACCACACCGACAATCGGTCATTGGTGGACAAAAAATAAGTTGACAAAGCATGTTTCTTCGTGGGTGCGAAATAAGATTTATAAGCAGGGCTTGGTTTTCCTTGGGACTCACCATGACATCATGAGTGACCCAGAATCAGGTATTAGAGGATTTGTCTATTACAGTAATTGGTCCGACTCGCACGTCTCAAAGAATATCCGCCACTTCTGTGTGCGGTGATAGGTGAGATTTTTGTTAAAAGCCAGCCTCCACCGGTGGAAGGAGAGCCCATTCCAGAATGGTTTTCCAGTGTGGCTGAGAAGCTTACGGCCAATGTTTTTTTCGGGACCTCTGCCACAAGACCAACCTTGCCAATTAGATCTAATTAGGAATTAGTTTTCAGTGGCCACAGACGACGAGTTTTCGGCGGTACGCAAGAGGAAAGAGAGTCCGACGAGCTGTGGAGACTTGCCCGTCCGACCCCTAGAGACCCGTCTACCCATTCGTTGGGTATCGATTCCCATGTCTCTCCCATGTCCTTGCTGTATGTTCATTCGTTTTTAAGGGGAAGAGACAGGGCCATCTCGCTCCATGCCTACTGCCGAATCTCAATCTACAGCACCCCGACATGTGCTGGTCGACCCAAAAGCGGGATGCATGTGAGACTTGAGGCTAAGCAAAGACATCTGGCGTGCTCAAGGTGGTAGGATCATGGGCCCGTGCACATGAAACACGTGTCAAAGAAAAGCACTTTCTATTCTTCAAATCAATCATTGGTAATCGGTATGCTGATATCGTTTTACTTCTTATCCATTATTATCTTGTTTCATTGCTATAATATCCTGATATGTATCCTGCGACCAACCAACCTTCATCAACCAACTGTCCAAAGGCGTTCAACGAGCTGACGTTTTCTCCACCACTCACCAGGTCAAACAAAACATCACCAAACCACATGACTCAAACGCCCACCCAACTCATCCCACCTCCACGGGTGCACCTGTCACCCCGGTCCAAGGCACTGCTGAAAGCCGGTGCTTCGCCACGTGCCCACCGGACCGTCCCAGCCGTCGGGGCAAATCAACTGGCCCTGGAGCGGTGGCGGTGGCGGACGGTGACGCGGGCAACTCAGTGTTTAAAGAGCCAGATCAGACTGATTATTATAAGATATGATATTCAGCATTATAAGAAGTTAATTACTAATTTAGTTATAATATTAGGATGCTCTTTGTAGAACTCTTGAACATGACAATCAAATTCATCTGGGAAGAAAATGGAAGAAACACATCCGGTCCAAACAAACATCGCAATATTCACAACAACTGACTGTCGCAGCGCGCGAGACTGCCTTGGTCACCACGTTCCCGTTGATGCCAATGATGTAGCCAAACCTGAAAAGGCAAGGCCCAAAGCCCAGAGCTGCCAGGTAAACGAATCAACTCCCTTCGGACTGGGTGAGGCTTTTCAGGACATCAAATCTTCCGAGAGAAGCTTTGGAGCGTTTGGAGTGGGGTTCCTCAAGGATTGTAAACCCAAAAAACAGCACGGACGCTTGTGATCCGGTGGATGCTTGTGATCCGGTTGCACAGCCAAAAGTGTCCAACTTGAACTCTATAATTGCACCACTTTCTAGTGTGATAATTAGGCATGATTGGAACTCGCACAGCCATGCACGGCCTCAAATACCTGGAACTCAGAAACATAAAAGTAAAAACGTGCGATTTTCTTTGGATTCACCCACGACCAAGCCCTCAAACCACCATCCACGTCAAACACCCAAAACGGTCATCCAGGGCCGCCAGGGTGCAGCAACCCGCCGGTGGCGATGAATGTGAAGGCCAGGAGCACGTTTCCTAAGCGGGAGGTCATTCTCCCGGAATGTCTTCAAGGTCTCCATGGTTTGGCACGGCAGGTGCTTTTGAGGCTCATTGAGGAAAATAAGGGAAAAAACATGAACAAAGATGAGCAAACCAACTATAGGAAACTAGGAAGACCAAACAGGTCTTCCGCAACTTCCCCTTTTCTCATGATCTGCTCTGATAGAGCGTGCCTTCAGAGTTCTGATGAAAGAAACATCCTTTAGACCACTTGGGTCCTTTTTGGCTCATTGGCCCGCTTGGAGGAATCCAAGATTTGACGCTCCAGCCGAATCTTCTGATTTCTATAGGGATCGTCTTAAAGTCCACCCAGGGACCCTTTCCAACAAAGGAGTGGCACTGGACCTTCAGGCCTTGGTGGCCTCAAGTTCGTGGCTTTTGGGCCCAGGAACTAGGCACAGTTGATCAACCAACAACGTACAAACCCCTAAGACAGACTCAAACATATATATTGGATCATGAATCAACTTGCTCTTGATATCTCCTGATGTAGAAACGCTGGATCTATCAATGTTCTATTCAGTGCATGCCCACCGAAAAGACCCAAGAGCCAAATGTCACCTGAAGGCATGAAAAATGGCTTGCAAGACTTGCACTCACGCAACTGGTCTTGGTCTGCCGAGTCACTCAAAGCCATTCGACTTGCCTGGGAAAGGCAGGAGATGGAGGATGGAAGGGACGATCTTGCAAGAGACGATTCGTTCTGGTTGCGACTGAGCAGATTGTTGCAACTGATCCTGTCAGTCTCTAGTCTTAAAGCTGTGGATTTAAATCATCTCGAACGGGAATGTCATCCGCACAGTAGTAACAAGAAGCTACTAGTAACAAGTGCATCGCTTCTAGTAACACGTGCCTTACTAGTAGTAACAAGAAGCTATTAGTAATTAGAATCAAAGGAGTACCGGAGTGACACCAAACTGGACTCCTTCGAACTGGACGAAGCCCAAATGCGGCAAAGCGCCGCGAAGCTCCCGGCCGCGTCTGGGGTTCTGTGGCGAAGCGATTCTGTGTTTGAAGCTGAGCCATAAAAGCGAGAAGTCGAAGGCGTCTGCAAAATTAAAGAAGTCTCCCAATGAAGCTCTTGCGTCTGCACATCAAAGGGTCACATGTTTATCAACTTTTATCTATAGGATTCTATAGGTCACTTGTAGAGAAGTCTATGCTTGATTGTTGGGAGGTGTTGCACTGGAATCTTGATGAGTTTTTAGGTATGATCCTTCCTTCAGTCGAGTCAAGACCATTATCTGCTTCCGCGTGACCATCTTCTTTCGCTTTGTTTGGATGTCTATGTGTGTGTGTGTGTCATCTAATTGAATCTGTTTTCTAGTGATAAGTGATAAACCTTTATATAGATTTTGTTCAGACCTGTTTCTTTTCTCTCAGTCTTTCTTTAAATTGCAACGCATTCCATCGGCCCTTCCGCTCCAAACACACCCATGACCCCCTTCACATGGCTTCCACAGCACTCGGAGTGCGACTGCACCTCTTGCAGCTCGGAGTTCAGAGGCACTGTGAGGATCTGCCCACCACCCGAGCCCTTGCCCTTCTCCCTGCCACGCGCGCGGGTCCGGAGGAGGATGCCGTTTATGGATGGGGCGCCATGAAATCAAGTGAGGGAAGGTTGGCTTGAAAGGGGTGTAGTTTCCAAACAGACCGATGGTGAAAAACACAACTTGAATTCTGAAACATTATTGAAGACTTAAAAGCAAAAAGTGACCAGGTATTTCCTATAGGCCTCTTGATAAGTTTCTGCTTCTGTGCCATCAGAAGAAAGAAAAACACAATATTCAGCTCATGTCAGCTCATATACCCTTGTGAAGTTTTCGGAAGAGAAACAATTCAGCTCAGAACTCGCCCAACTCTGAGACATTCGTTGTACTTAAAGACGACCGCCGCACAACGTCTCTGCCGTCTTTTTGGGATCGCAGAGGTCACGCCGGCAGCGGCAGCGGCGACCGTCGACGCCTCGTGCCATCGTTGTGACCGTCGCAGCAGTGGGACGCAGTGGGTGTGGTTTGGATCGGACATACCGCAGGGGACGGAGAACTGGTATATCATTGTATTGTATAACTAGTATATATGACTGCAATAACATTGTGTAGCTAACTGACTTTTATTCATGATTATTCATGTTTCATAGAATCAGATCATCTTCTATCTTTTCAGTGTCAAAAAAGGCCTGTCGGTGTGGGAGGTACAAGGTGTAGATTGACGGCACCTAAGCAGAAAGTGTGACGTAAAGTCATTGAAGTATTTGTTTGGTTGGCATCTTGGAATGGTCTTAAAGCCACCTGCTCAAGAAGACGCAACATATGATGGCAAACTCACCAAGCACATGATGCCTGCAAGACTCACGGAATCCAACAGAGAAGGAATTCCATGTCCAATGGCAGGGTGCCAGCCCCTGCAAAGCACAGGAAGACTCACTGGAAGAAATTTAGACTGACCACCCCAATTTAAAGGTTGGAGTAATGATCGTGGAGTGTCTCCTCTACTTTGATATCAAGCTTGGTGGCCAAAGTGAGAACCTCGAAAGAGCCTTAAACTGAGCAATGGACCAGAATCTAGCCAAGTGGTTAATACATTGCTTTGACCACACACCGTCGCATCCCCCGCCGAAGCCCCAGAGAACCGCGCCGCATCGACCTCTCGCCTCAGCGTTTCGTCCGCGTCGGCTGCAGCGGTAAACTGATGGGCGCGCTGACCTGCGTGTGCCACCTGAAAGCTGCGAAGCGCCACGATGAGTCATGTACCAGCGGCGAGTCATGCGAGTGAGCATTGGGCAGTTCAACTGCTGTTGGTGTTGGTGAGGGGAAAGGGATCCAGTATTTTCACCTAGCCAAATGCTCACTTCTATTGGAGGAGGTAGATCTGTCAGGGTCTCGAACTGGTCTCGAGCTGAGTGTTGAAGACGTCAAGTGCTGCGTGCCAGTTCCGAAACCAACCAGGTGCAAACGTCCTGTGGCACACGATTTCACTGCTGTAGAGAACATCGATCGAACATGATCAAAACCCACCCCTTGGGGGTGGTGCAGTGGACAATCTAATATGAATCGACACCTTTTCGGGCGATTTGGAGGCTCTGGGGTCGGAGCCGGTCTGCTTTCGATCCTTTGAGGATGTTCGAACGGTTCCCCAAGTCACAAGGGGGTGAATTTGGATGGCACTACAGGAGATTCAATTGCGATTTCTTTTTATCTCAGAGACATCTGGTCTGGATGTCTTGCAGGGATCTATGAGGGGTAGGATGTAGTTGCAGAGTGTCATCGAAAGAGCTCTTGCCGAGCGGCTGGTACTTGAATTGAGTATAATTCAAAGCAGGTTGAGGATAGAAACTTAGAAATTGTCTTACGAAAAACTTGTCAGACGTGTTGAAACAAGATAAGCCAACGTGTTAACCGCTCAAATCAAACATTGCCACCCACATGTCGAACTACGAACCAGCGCACCAAATCACCCCCTGCGTCCGGACCGTCCGAGCCAAGCCTTTGCTGGACCGGTGAGGGCGACTTGGAGTAAAACGTGGGATCTGCGGATCGCGGTGCGTCGGCGGTGCGTATGGAATTCGATGAGAATGAATCAGCTTCTTTTGCCGTCGAACACATGGGAGGATTGGAATGAACCATGAATCTAGATATTTACTACTGTCTAGTGAGTCTAGTGATTCAGTGATTTAGGCAAATGTGGTTCAAGTGACATACCCACAGGGCTAGGTCATCTGCGCTCGCACATCGAGCAATACAGGATGTCTGGGGCGGAAAATCTACATCAATCACAGTTCATCACTTAATTGAGATGAGGGTCAGCAAAGCGGATGAACCAATTAACCGCGCCGCTAAGCGCGGCGTTCAACACCATTGGATGGTGGTGAGTAAGTGGTGATTGATGAAAAGATGGAGGTCTCAGTGGTGTAATTTCTGAGTTGTGACTGTGACCCACAAGAAGTTGCAGGCAAACCAGGGAAAACGGTGAAGTTTGTTTCCAACATCTGCCTTTCCACGTGCCGTGGCCGTTCCATCCCAGCGCCTGGCTTAGGTGGCTGAAGATTCTGCAAGTACCGGACCTGAGTCCCGTGCGAATCGCCCTGTGACTGGTGAGTTCCAGTTGGCTGGAGACGAACGGATCATCTTCCTTTCCTTTCACAACTGCTGAGTGAGTTCTGCAACTCTTGGAACTGAACACATGCACACAAGATCTCACCCGTGAAAATCCAGCTGCACGTGAGAGCCTTGGATCACGTTACAGTAATCAAAGCCATTCCGTTCTAGAAGTTCATGGTGCCTCATGGAAAATGCAGTAAGCAAGGGAATTGTTGGTGGTCAAGTCAGCAAACACGTTTCTGGAACCCCAGCCACAAATCGATTCCCCCAAAATACCATCATGACAGGAAGTGCCTTGGGCGTTCGTTCCGCAATTGAATTTCATGTCCGAATAGAACACACGCGGTGCTGCTGCGGGGAGGCAGCACGTGTTGGATCATTACGGACCAAAAGGCTCAAGACTTTGGGAAGGACCTGAAGTGAAAAGCTCTATAAAAGCTCTATTTTAATCATATTCAATCTACAAATACCCGGGTCCCACCCAGCCCCCAACTCCTCGCCAGACTCGTCACCGGTTGGGGCCCTGAGGGCGGTCCCGGCCCGGCGCTGGGGATGGGCAGCGCCAAGTTGATGGACCTCGAAACAGTCCGACGTTTTCGCCCGCGCGTGCGCGCGCGAGACGTGGAGCTTTTCAAAGGAAACCAATGGCATTGGGTCACATAGGGGAGTAATGGAGGTATAGTATTCTATCGATGACTAGATCAATGCATATCGTATGCATGCTGCATGGAATGTGGTGAATGTTGCTGATGGATCTTTTAGACACATTTAGAAACCACTGTGTGGTGGATGATCGTGAAGATCATTGCAAAATAATCCAAGATACTTACAGTTTCTTTGACCTTGGTGAACCTGAGTTCCTGCTATACACTACAGTTCCTGCCAAGCTCATCGATTCAAGAGTCTCATGTTGAATGTTGCCTACTCTTGTCCTCCATGTCCTACACCTCTCAGACCGGACAAATCTCTCATTCCAATCTACCTGGACTCTCCCTGCAAAGTATAAGTACTCTAGAATACGGGAGATGATCCAATAACGTGTGATCGTGTATCCATCTCTATTCTTAAGGTACTTTGAGACTTCAGGAAATTACACCAGGTCTTTTTGGATTGTGTTTCTCCCAAATCTTCCCAGCTCGCACGATCACGATTTGCACCGAGCGGCGTCCGTGCATCACGCACCGGTGAGGCCCCGCCGTGCAGCGGCGCCGCATTCGTCGGCGCCGGGTTCGCGGCGGCGAGCGGCACGTGCTCGGGGAGCGTCCCACGCGGGGTGCGGAGCAACTCACCTGAAGTGGACGGAGCCGCGGTCAAGCAAGGCAGGTGCCCCAAAAGGTTTCATCGGGTACGCAGGATGAGCGAACTTCAGGCTGTACAGCAAAGGGTGTTCGAAAAGGGGAGGCTGGGAGTGGGAGGCCGCTATTTGCCGCTATTGCTATTTGCTATTTTGCTATGCTCCGTCTATATATATATATAGGTACAAGTAGCACTGTTGTTGGAGGGTCTTCGCTAGTTTGGCACACATTGCACATTGTCT